GGAATATCTAACACCAACATAAATATCACCAATAAGGATATTTATAAATAACAGTATTTTTATTTTTAAGTTACTCTGAATTTCTAAACCTCTTAAAATATTAACTCAGGACTCCCAAATTCACTAAGGTAGGTAGCTAAGGATGGTTAATCTTATTTTTACTGCTGGGGAAACTGAGGCAGAGAGGTTCAGTGACTTACCCAAGGCCACAGAGGGAGTCACTGTTAGAGCCGGGATTAGAGCTCAGGAGTTTCTGGCTCCCAGCCCCAAGCTCAGACCACTAGACCATGGCCTCAGGACATTTCCAGCTGGTCTTCAGTCTAAAAAAAAGTAAATTCTCAAGTATGTTACAAATATGTAACATATATATTTCTTTTTACTTTGAATGTAATGGTATGAATGAGAACACATTGCTCGTAAATCAGTGATGAAAAGCAAACCAGTACATTTTATCTGAGTTACCTTTATCATACATACGTGTATGATAAAGCTCTGCAGAAAAATCTTGATTTAAATTGCAGCCAGTACAAACAACTATTGTATTTTTCAGGGTAAGGAACAAATTGCCTTTCCAACCCAGCCAGCGTGTCATTTATATTAATGGTGAGGAATGCTAAGTTGCTCTGTGTGTAAGTAAACTCTATTAAGAAAGTCACGTCCCTTGGTGAAGCTAGATCCTTAGTAAATTTTACTAGCTAAGCATTGAGTTCCATGTCAGAGTAATTACACCTTTTATCCACTGTGAGCTCTCTCTTAGCTTCTTCATACTCCTTAATTTCCCACTTCAGCTAATTTAGCAGTAAAATTGCAAAGGTTTCAAAAGGTTAGCTACCAAGGAACTGGTGCATGAATGTTCTGTTAAGCTCCATGCATTGAAATCACATCATGTAGAAGAAGGAATTAATTAAGTAACAATTAAGTAGTGATGGATCATTGACAACATATATACACTTTGGTGCTAAAATTAATCTCCCCTGTAAATCCAATACATTGTGCATTTTCTCATCTATACGCTGGCAAGTTTTATACTTGAAATATAAAATGGACAGGCCCTTCAGCAATATCTTAAAAAAAAGACATATCTTCTGGCACTACTGAAACTGCATACTATTTTTAAAAATCATATAGCTTGTATTTTTTTTTTTTTTTCAAGAATTGAAAGAGTAATGAGAATAGCAAAATGAGAAGAAACTTTTAAGGCAAGTGATTTTAAAGGATGTAAGGACATTTGTTATATGCAAGTACTTAGTATGTTGAAAGTGCTAACAATTGTGTAGTATTCTCACGCTATCTTCTTTTACAAGTTGCCATATTGTTTCCTTGTATTGACAGTCAGCTGCTTAATACATAGATTGGCCGTTAGCCCGGTCAATCCTCAATGCTAAAAGCCTCTTAGCAGATGAAAAATCTTTGGTTCATTCACACCTTGTAGAAAGGATGACAGGGCAGAAGTGACATCCAGATCCATTTAGAGTATACTTTGAGTCTGATTTTCTTTTGCCTTGCACCTTGTGTAGTCATTTATAGCTGTGCAAAGTGAGCACAAAATGGATATAAAACAATGCTACCCATGTGAGGAGTGAATTCTGATTTGGTTGCATTATTTCCAGAGGTGATCACAAAAAGTGCCAGGCAGTGAAAAAATCTGGCCCTGCATAGAAAGTTTAAACAATTTTGACACAAAGCATAAAGTAGCAGCAGTGCATTCCAAACAATTTAAGAAATTGCACTTGTGCTTTGGAGCAATGGGTATTTTCATTTGCTGTTTCCTTGGTATTTTCATAGAAAAAATACTAAATGTTAAACTCATCTACAGAAAAAGAATCCTATTTCTTCCTTTTTTTAGTAGAAATATACTTAACTGTGAGCCCTAAGGTATATTCTCACATAAGGAGGAACTCATGTCCTACGTAAGATCTCCACTAGTTCTACCTTTCCACATGCTAGTTCTAAACCCAATACTTAAAAACTTACACAGCCTCCTGGAATCAATGTGAAAGCGGGTATTATCACAACAGCTGGTCTCAGTCCATCAGAGTTCAATACTGTTCTGGCTTTAGTATGGGTAGCAAATTATTGTCTCAGCATTTACCAAACAATGATATCTCTGCTATATGATAATAAAAGACCTACTGCCAAGTATCTTCAAGATACAAACTAATACTAGTAGGAAAGGCCTGCAAATATTAGATTAACAAATGTGTGTTAACAAAACGGATAGTTAACAAATTAAGGACCTAATCTGGCTGTTGTTGGAGATGTGATCAAGAATTATTTCTATTTATTAACAGACATTTAGTGTATAATAATTAATTCAATATGTTAATTCCATATGTTTGGACATTTATTTCCCCATACTACGTGGTGGCCATTTTTCTGGTCCTTCCCAGTCAGAAATCCTTCCCGTTATACTTAGATACCAGGATGGGCCTGGCAACTCAGGTCTGTTGATTAGGAACAGAAATAGAAATTACTTGACTGCATCATCAGCTGTTGACTTAGAATACTGCTACAGTAAATAATGTTTCTTGGTGTTCCTGTTAGAAAATCTCCTTTATTTTAATCACAGTCATGCATTTCATAGAGTCACCCTAAGACTTAGTTCCCAAACCTATCACCATTGTCCAAAGCATACCCTTTTACCAAATGGCTAAAGAAAAAATGAACTTTTTTTTTTATTATTATTATTAATATTTTAGTAGTACTGTATTATAGATTGGGGTTTCTTGGGCTTTTTTTTCCTTTTTTTTTTCCTTTTCTTTTTTACCCCTTCCCTTTCTGGATTCAGTGCTTCTTTAAGTATTCTGAGTTGCTAGTCTGGCTTGACTGAAAAGTACTGTGTGTTTGTTGTGTGTCTGCATGTGTGATACCAACTGTTGAAGATTGCTTGATGTTAGATGAGGGCTTATGCTCAGAGCTGTTCTACAGTTGGCTCTTTGGCAGAATCTCTCCTCATCAATGACAATGATATTTCTGTGTGGGGGAGAGTCTGTTTTATAATATTACACTTTCCATGGCCTTGATCCTACTGATGGGCATGATTACGACTTCATTTACGTTAATCAAAATCATGAGTCATTCTATTCATGTCGATAGCATTAAAGAGCTATACAGACAAGTAAGAGTTCAGAATCAGGCTTCTCGTGTTTAATCTGAAAGGATATATGAATCACTTCATTAAAGATAGATACTGAAGGATAGATGCTCTGCTTGCTTTGCATTACTCAGTTGTGCCATTAGCACAACATCAAATAAAGAACTATAATGATAGCTGGCATTAGAGTTAGAATACATGGGTTTTGTCTTTACCTTGAGTAGACAAAATACTCCTGAATTAATGAGATTTAAGCTAAAATTTCAAGTCTGACAACATTTCTGTATTAGGTCTCCTCAGCTTTGGAAGTTGGCATTAATGTTTCAAAACCTTATTTCCTTCCTTTGTTTTTTATGTCACTCTTGCATAACTTGAATGCAAAAGATCTAAAGGCAAATAATATTTAAGTAAGACATCAGTGACTGAGTTAAGTTTTATAGCCCTGTCCATCATGAATATTATGTTTGGTAAATACAGGAGCATTAAAACAGTGATCACAAGTTTGTTTTGTAGGTATCTCATAAAGCACTATCAAATCTTCATTCTTTTCTAAAAAGTGAAAAACATATTAATTTTCCAAAATAAAGTAATTCTAAAACAATAAAAGGTTTTGTACTGGTGTCTGTCTCCTGCTCAGACAGTGAAATAGTGCAGGGGATGATGAGCCTTAATTTAGTTCTCACTGCTAAGTACTTTTAAGACTAAATACTTTTGATATTGCACTTACTTAGATTACACTCAAGCTCTATGTAAATCAAAAAGAAGATTATGGGGGGGGGAAGATAATTTCAAGAGGTCTAGCAAGCTGTTGGAATATTGTTCTATCATATCTTTTCAGATTTTTTTCCATTTTTGAAGTCAAAGAGTTATTGGCATTTGAGAACATCATCTAGAAATCTGTTTGATATATTACAGGCCCTAGCAACCGTTACTGTCATATATACTCTCAGCTTCACTACAAGCATCAGCCCCAAGACACCAAATCAGAGAGTTGAGGGTTTTATCAACAAACCAGGACCAAAAGGAAGCTGAAACAAGGGATCTTTTACTATGTTTTCTATAGGTCTAACTGATTGTCTCACTGAAAACTAAAGATCTATCTGTGCAACTTGCTTTTCCAGTACAGTGGGAATAGCAAAAACATTTTCTCCTGAATTCTCAATGAAAATTTTCATTTTGCCCTAGCCCATGTGTTCAGTTTTATACCCTACATTTCCTCAGCATAAGAAAATTATTGTAGAGTGAAGCAATAGGATACTGTCATCAGTCTGAATACAAATGTTAGTTAAACCACTGGTACCTTTTAAGAAAACCTGAAAACCACTTTTTTCCCCAGTAACTGTGGGAATTACACATTTTCCCTGTCTTTCTGATAACATTGCTGTGTATTTCAGTAAGCATACTTGGGCACATAGCTTAATTATAAGGCAACAGACTTTACATATCTGTGTCAAAAACCAATTAGAAATCTCACTCTTTGTTTTTCAATAAACTAAAGTGAATGAGAAACTGTAGAAATATAGAACAGAGAAGTGACCTACCGTGGTTGTCTTTATCCGTCCTCCTGGTTGTGTACAGGTCCAGCCTGATTTATTGATTAGCAAATCACAGCCTTCTCCTTCTAAACATGGAAGCATTTCACACCACTGTTTTGTTTTGATAATTCGTGCTATGGAACAGAAAAGAAAAAAAACGAAACAACAAAACAATTGGCAGGAGAATTCTCATTTCACTTATCTCTAAACACTGTCTCATTTGAGTTGTCTGTTTTCATCATCTGATAATGCAGCCATAGGTTATGATGTAGACAGCCCTAGGCAATTTACAAAATTATTTACACCACCTGGTGTGCCAACAAATTTCATAATAGAAATAGAACTTAAAAACCACCAAAAAAACAAAAGACAGCTCTGATGTAAATCGAAAGAACATAAAAGTTAGCTAATTTTCTAATTCCATGCTCCTTTACAGTCAAAAAAATATTTGGGGGGGGGTGGCGGGGGCTGAAAACTGAAGACTTACTATCCTAACTAACCATTACAGTAGCCTAAAAGTGACCTACGACTGGGATCCATTGTGTTAAACGCTGTATAATTCTGAGCAGACACTCCTTATCCTGAAGTGCTTACAGACATGAAACACAGTGGAAAGAGAAAAGGTGTAATAAAAAGACAGAGGAGTCAACATAATGACAGCATTTGTAAAATTCTGTGATACTTGCAATGGTAGGGGTGTAGTTAGGGGCAGGAACTAGGAACATAAGAAGGACAGGTGTTGGATGAAGTAAATGTTGGGAAATCATGGGGAAGAAGACAATAAGCAGAGGGAAAAGACTGGACCTAAGACCCTGTTACTCTATTACCACAAGGGAAAGGAAGCCAGTCGGGAAAGTGGCATGTTGTGCGCTTTGCAGCTCCTCTTAATGCTTGTGTCTCTGGTAAGCTGGTTCTGCAAATTTACTCAAGATCACACAGCAAGTAGTCTTGCAACAACAGAGCTCTGACTGCATTACAGTAAATGCAGAGGAGCTGTAGGGAGAAGTTTTTCTTCAAGGCAGGGAGAAAAGGGGCTTTAATTCCTGTAGTCTTCTTTCTGGATTATAATACTACTTCTTTTGAGTTCACCTCTGCAGTATCTGGGTTCCTTCTCAGAGAATATTAAGCAATATGACTAATAATCTAATATTTTGTTATTCTTTCACTCTCCCCCTATAGGCAAAATTGTATTGTGGAGTATTAGTTTGGGATACTTTTTATAAAATACATATACAGAGATGCACTCACTTGCATGGTGCCGTATGTTCATGCTAAACAAGGTAAGCCCCCCCAAACAATCTGTCTTTTGCTCAGATTGTAAGGCTTGCAGTCTACAGAAAATGGTCCTCAGTTCCCTCAGAGATCATCTTAGCAATCCTGGACTAGACTGTAAGAAAGCTTCATGACCTCAATTTGTACATAAATGTCCTAGGATTCAAGGGCAGAACAAGTTCCACAGACACAGGTCATGTCTTCCTCTATGTTGATGAATGACACCAATACACACAATATATCTTCAACAGTCATGAGCCTAACAAAAAGAGAACTACAGGAGAAATACTTAGCAAGATAATACAAGAAGCTTATGTTGTTCCAAATTAATTTTGGGTCCAAGGAGCTTAAAAGCAGGCATTTATACCTAGTGGCAGTTGCAGCTCTTTATGCTCACCTGAATGTGTGATTTAGCCTCCCTACGCCCCTGACTTCCTCTGTCTGGAACTATTTAAGAATACAATTCCCAATGCCACTGGATCATGGCAAGAAATAGAAGTGTAATTTAAAGTCTTTTAATAAAATCTTTTCCACTATTTTGACATGAAACAACTTGTGTCCTCAGTCCCGGTACAATTGTTGGTAAGCTTTAGAAATATAATGAACACTGATTTCTTTCAGTGGAAGCTCAGTCTGAAATTCACATTAAGATTTTCATTATAAAAAACACTTTAGCTCCCAAACGTCTACATCGGAATTTGCACTGTTCATTAGGCTATATATATATCTATATGTATATCGCTGGAGGAATGATTCCCAAACAATTTTCATAAATACAATTTTGTGAAGCAAATCCACAAAGTTTTTATAGCATATAATATACAGAAACCTGGATTGCACTTGGGGTCCATAGGAACTGCTCTACTGGGAACTGGATCATCTCCGTTTCCAAGGTTAGCATCTCCTGTGTAACAGAGAATAGCCGCACCCTTCCTGAGTGACGGCATGCATCCAGTTGCAGGCTTTACAGAAAAAGCTCAGTAAAATGTTAACACCAAACCTCACTCATTTGCATGCTTATATTTTGCAATTCACATATTGAAATGGCTACTTCTATCAAAGTTTCAACAGTATGAAGGATCACTGAAAGACTGAATAGTCAGTTAAACTCAAAAATCTGTACTAGATTGCCTCTACTATCTCAAGTGGGAGGTTTTCCTGGAAACATGATTTAAACTAATCTTTGAAAAAAATATTTCTCTCCTCTGTGAATTACTTAGTGTTTGCTTGGTTGCTATCTCAGAATTAAGCTATCGGTAATAGCACAAATATATGGATTCCTTGCTCTGGGTATTGGCTATATCCACACAAATTTAGGAAACACCAAGAGTATTTTACAGAACATAAAGTCTAAAACATCTCTGTGTTAAGTAAGTGTACAGATTAGTTCATGCATTTAGGCCTTGAGAATCGCAACTTCTTTTACAGGGAAAAAACACTCAGCTCACATGGTTTAAAGCTGATCAGTATCAAAACAGTTTGTTAATTTATTAATGACACTTAACCAGCAGCAGGGCAGGATCGATACCAGTAATACAAAAAAGTAAACCGTAGCGCCAGGCAGGACATGTTCATAAACACGTGGAAGTTCCTAAAAGCCCCCTGAGAACCAATCCCGCACACCTGTGAGGCACAGGCCGGCACCCCACTCTCCCAGCCGGGCCCCCGCACCCCTGGGC